TTCTCCAGAGTGTTGTTCAGGATGGGGGTGAGTAGAAAATGAAGGCTAATCATGTTTTGGGTGTACTATTCCTTTAATGTGTACAAGCAAGAAAAATGAAGCAGCAGAAGCTTTTTTGCTACTTCCAGCGCTTGCGGTCTGAACGTAGCATAACACCTGCTTGATTATAGAGCACGACATTCCCTCTACAATTCATTAGTTCTTCCATACATTAGTTATTGCATAGAGGTTTTCGGGCTAATATATACAAAAGTAATCTAGATTCACTTATCAAACTTAAAAAGAAAAACGTCATCATTCATAATGTTAGATTAAGAGATCATTTTAATGCACTTTTCTTAACATTTTATATCATGATATTCCAAGACACATTTAAATTTAAAACTACTTGCTGTAGTGTACAATGCAAGCCGTGATCTACTTCCTGGCAATATACAAAAATGTTCAACAGTAGAATGAGAATAATAATCTGAGAGGAGACTTTGCGTTGAGAAGATGTGGTTTTTGCAGCACACTTGAAAGCCTGGGGCTCAGCCGAGCAGGAGTTATGTTGTGGAATGGATTAGATATGGAAATAAAAAGGAATACCACCCTAAGACAATTTAAAAGCAAATATAAAATAAATATGTTATCTTTAAAAAAATATGAAAGTGACCCAAACATTTAAACTTGATAATTTGCAGCATTTTTTATTTGTATTACTAGATATCTACTTCTTTCTGTACAACTGCTTTGATTTGTAATATCTCCTTTTAGCAAAAGATGTTATATGTTACATGACATGATTATTGTTATTCGGATTAGTTTCTTATAAGTTCCTTGAACTTCTACCTACTCCTTGTGAGTGCTACTAAAATGTCCTCAAAGGAAATCTTGCTTGTGTTGTTGCACAAAGAAATTGAAATAATGAAAAAAGGAGTGGCTTGGGAACAACTCTGTGATCAGTCTTAGCCCTGACCTAAACCCAATTGAGCATCTCTGGAAAGACCTGAAAATAGCCTTCCACCAACCTGAGAGAACTGGAGAGGATCTGCAAGGAAGAATGGCAGAGGATCCCCAAATCCAGGTGTGAAAAACTTGTTGCCTCATTCCCAAGAAGACCCCTGGCTATACTAGTTTAAAAGACTGCTACTACTCAATACTGAGCAAAGCGGCTGAATACTTATGACCATGTGATATTTCAGTTTTTCAAGATGAGAAATAAAATTAAGTTTATGATTTTACCCAATGGCTGTAATGAAAGAAAGACTGTATATATTTCTGTATATATGACTGTATATATATATATATATATATATATATATATATATATATATATATATATATTTATCAAGGCTGCACTTTAAAAAATGAAATTGTGTAGAGAGCTCTTCGAAATTTCTTTTTGTTTAAACTGTATATATATATATAAACTCTGTATAAAAAATAAAAAAATAAAT